AAGATTAGGGTGGGTTTTTTAAAAACGATACCGTCTCCCTGTAAATCTTATCTAACTCCGATAAGGGTTGCCTGGGGCGTTTGGTGAAATTCAACAAGATGTTGTTAGAAGAAGACCTAAGGGATAAAAGGTCAGAATTGTCAGCATGTGACAAGATATTCTCAACATCAGCTAGGATTCTACTAATTGAGTAGTCTTTGAAAGTTGGTTGAAGGCCAAATTTAGGACCCAAAGATAACAACTTAAGTATGTCAGGAGGAACCTCAATGTTAGATAAATTTTTAATCCATTAGGATTAAATGGAATTTTCTTAAATCAGGAGTATCTAATTATTAAGTTTATTTTTAAGATGTGCCATGGATTTATTATATGTGTAATTAAATTTTTTATGTAAAGAAGCCTCAAAAGTGTCCAACAAATTGTCAGGTAGGTGATTGTCCAGAAATGAAGTAACATTATTTATTTGAAAAGTTAAAGATTTAATATCTGTGTGAACCTTAGAAATATGGAAATTAAGTAAGCGTATTCTCACCTGTCTATTTAAAGCTTGGCTTCTACGGTAGAGTCTGTTGTCTGTGGAGCTTGATGTAGATGCAAATATGTTGGAAGTGGTGTCAATGATGAATCGTGGGATTTTCTTAGTTCTCCAAGGAGGAAGGTTCTTCTGGCTTCAGCTGTTGCTAATTTTTCGGTGAGGTTTGTCCATCTCTTCAGCTTCTTCACTGCTAGGTCTCCATGGAGTGCGCCTGGTGGTGGCATAGAACCCCTCTGTAACAGAAAGCATCGGAAAAGGAGTACGACCGTCAATCCAATATATTATAAGGATCACTCAGAAGAGTGGTGGGTTCTTATATCGGTCTCAAGGTGGAGAAATAAAAGACATTGATAGGCTACTTTATCTATTTTGAAGACGTTTCGCTTTCGTGTTCTGAAAGCATCATCAGTTCATCTAAAAAGTACAATATGAGAACCACACAATCATGGAAACGATGTTAATGGGTTGTTTTTTCGGTTTAGAATTCAATATATCTTTGCACCTCCATTATTGCTTTACAGCGACTGTTCCCACCAGCAGGTTTAAAATGGGAGGCTTGCTTATCAAAGTCTCCCCAGATAGAAAACTCGTCCTCAGATGAATCAGCATGTAATTGATTTACTGTAGATGCTGCGTTTGTTTGAGTTTTTTTCTAAAAGATTAGTCAGCAAATTTATGACTAAATTTTTTGATCGCTCAGCAACACTTTCATCTGAGAAACCGATATTTTTAAACCTCAGATCCATAAATGTTGAAACAATTAAACTGTTGCTATTTTCAAAATTTTTGAATCTCACCTGGCTGCTGTTGAAGATAACTTCAACAACTTTTGTCGGTCTTTCGGCAAATGATGTCGATATGATACCGCAATAGAAGCTCTAGCTTCTTCTTTGAGGTTAACAATTCTCTCCAGCATATAATAAACGGAGTTCCATCGTGTAGGAACAGCCTGAATTAATTTTTTGGGATCTTTGCCGTTTTGCTTTTGACACCAATCAAGCTTCTCTTTGGCTAAATTACTTCGCTTGAATAAACTAACGACAAGTTTAACCTTTTCAATTAAACTCTTGATTGATTCTAGACCATCTTGAGCTATTAAATTAATAGTGTGTACTAAACAAGCCAAATGTTTTAATTGTAACTCTTCTAAAATCGCTTTTTTTACATTTGCACCATTGTCAGTAATAACTATAAATATTTTGTTGTGCAAATCCCATTTAGTTGTAACACGTCGTAGTTCATTTGCTAAGTTTACACTCGTATGAGATCCATCGAACAGAAAAACTTCCAAAAGGATTGACTTGAGTTCGAATTTATCATTTATAAAATGAGCTGTAACTCCCATAAAACTATCACCATTTCTGGATGACCACATATCAGTAGTTATTGTTACCAATTCGGCGGTTGCCATAATTTCTCTAGTTTTATATAAAGTCTCTAAATATTTGGCAGGAAGTAAATTCTTACTTAGTGTTTTCCTACTGGGCAAAGTATAACCCACAGCGTCACAAAACTCTCGGAAACCCTCATCTTCCACTATGGAGAAAGGTTGAATGTCTTTAACAATTAAGTTTAAAAGTTTGGCGTCAATAATTTTTTTTTGTGTTAAGTTTACCTTTTTAGTCACTTGAAGTTGGGACTGTAACAACTTCCTTTTCTTTGGTATTTGTAAACAAGCGCCACTGGTACTTGGAATTTCAGTATCAGGATATTTGTTTCATCACCTCACCAGTTTCGTCATTGTCAATAGGTACGCTATCTTGATTTTTGGTTTTACATTGAACTGATTCATTAAATGTAATAGATGGATGTTTTCTTTGCACGTGTTGACGTAAGTTAGTAACACTTGTTTTGTATGATAATACTTGACTGCACATATTACATTTCGCTCGAGCATCATCTATGATAGTAAAAAAGTCCCAAACTATGGAAGTTTTCTTTTTAGAATTCATATTTTGTTTCAAAATCTAAAAATAATTTATAAATAATAATGGGACAATATTTAAAAATAAAATGCATGTAAAGGTAAGCAGCAAAATACTTCAATTCCGATTTTTATAATACATAAAATAAATTTTCTGAAAAACACAGAGTTTTTCTGAAAAACAAAGTTAAAACACTTTTAGTTATTTTGGTATAAAAACATACAAGTACTTAAAAACTTTTTAAAAGTGTCGTCAACATTTAAAATTCTGGCAGAACGTTTTCAATCTATACAGATCATCTTCAGTGCCTTTTGTATTTGGTGCTAACAATAAGGTGTCTATAAGACTTCCATGTGTGGATTTACAAAATATCACATTTTACATTTAATAATGTTGAGACTCTAGGTCGATGACAATGGAATTGTTTTTAAAATTAAAATTTACTTTAGGGACTACATGTCTCTTAAGCTCGAATACTTGCACGTGGTACTTGTCAGTTGAAACGACGACACAGACCAAATGGCTGATGTCACAGGAGATAATTTAACGACAGCTAAACCTGACAGGATGTCAGTATGTTCCGAAATTAATGTAATTTTTGTTTGTGAAGTTATAAACTTTGTTTACTTGTAGTAATGACTAATATCTTATTAATGAACCTGACTGTAACAATTAGATTTATTTAAATGATAAAATTTATTGCCTAGATCAGTGAATCTCTATTATTGAAAAAATGAACTGTCAATTTAATGGGATTAATATATAAGGTTGAAATTTATGACATCATAAGTGATGATAAAATGATAAAGGTAGAAGAAGAAGGGATATTGGTGTGGTACTGTACAAATGCAAGTATATGAAGTGTATAAAATTATTATAACTGAATAATTAAGTTAAAGTCCAATGGGATGGAAGTGAAAATTATATTTATATTGTGTAAAGGTGGTTGCCTAGTAATGGTAAAAGACCTGTGTAATTATCTGATAGTTTAAAATTTTTTTTTAATTAGTCAAATGAATATTTCTATTAGAAAGTTATATGAGATAGGGTAACAGAATATGATATTCTAGCTGTTATTGTATTGTAGAAATGATAGTATATAATATGGACATCACTTTATTGTGTAGTATGTAAAATGAATATTATACATATATACATATATAATATATATATATATATATATATATATATATATATATATATTTACACATATATACACACATATACACATACATACACACACAACACACACACATATATATATATATATATATATATATATATATATATATATATATATATATTATATATATGTATATATATATTATTGTGATATTTAAAGTCTTAGTGCGCCAAGCAATTAATTAGCTAATTAATTAATTAATAATTAAAATTATTTAAATGATATGACTATGATTCTATCACACTTTTTAATTCTCTTATCTCAGGGTTCTATTCGTGCTTCAATATCTATGCTATTACATGTGAAAGGTAAGGTCCAAAGAATACCGGAATAATAAAAAACATATAGGATCTAACATTATATATTGAAATAAAAATAATGAACTAAAATTCACACTCAAATGTTTTCAATAAACAATATCTCATATAATGATTCTCAAAATTTTGTTCTACGTACGTGAACCTTCAAAATTAATGGTACAAACAATATTAGTTAAACTCTCAAAATCCCAATTATTATTCTAAATGTCCTAATCAAAATATTTATATCTTTTCCAAAGTAATTGTAAAAATTGTGTTATCAATGAAAGAAAAAACTGCAGAAAACAAAACTATCTCTCTCTGATGATGAGTGGTCCAAATCCTTGTTCCTTGTAGTCTATACTATCTACTCTTAGCAGCTCCCTAGGTAATCAGCAATCTTACAACAAATTGTTGCAAGTTTATCGTCCTTAATGATCTCCTTCAAATGCACGAATCGTTCAAATTATGCTAGCCTTCTTCTCTCTCGATAAACTGAATCTCTCGTTGGCCTGAGTGAAAAATGACTCTTGGAATATCTTCTCTTTACGATAAACTGAATCTCTCGTTGGCCTGAACAGTGACTCTTGGAATATAAGTAGAAAAATATGACTTACAATCTTTTACTGGATCAGCTTCTGTCAGATACACTAACTACACGAAAACTCACAAACTTTCACTGCTACTGCTTCCTACCTCTGGGAAACTACCCGAGAACAACGGCCGTTCGCCTTGTACCCTTGGAAACCAACTGACTATCATTTTTTCTTCCAAAACTAACTAACGTCTCATTCTCAAACCAAACCTCCCACCTTTTCCAATCTCATCCAATCAAAACGCGTCATACATCTCCCATTTCTTCATTTCGATAACACACAAATTTTTACCTACAATTATAAAATTTCCTAAAACTTATTTACAAAATCTTTTCCTACCAATTCTTAAAGAACTAACAAAAACATATCTTTCTAAAATCTATTCTATTGTCCTAATTACTGCACAACATTTATTTGGAAAAACCGCTTCTAATGTCTAGGTTTTACTTAAGCTTATAGGGTCACTCAAATATATTTTAACAAAGAAAATAATTTATGCATATCTTACGTTTTGTTAAATACAGGTAATCCAAAATTAAAAGACTTTCATTCTTCGAAATGTTTGTTGTTCATTATTTGACTTATCTGAATTATTTTAATGTTTTTGAACTTTGAAATATTTTAAGCAAACCAATACTTTTCTCGATTTTACATATCATAACAAATCCCCGCCATTTGATCTGCCGAAAACTCTTTGTTAAATTTTAAAAATGACAAAAGTTTTCTAGGATCAAATTATTTCACTATGTTATTAAAATCTACTTATGATACTGATAAATGTCGTGAATGTTAAAATACCCCGTATATTGCCTGTCTTTATACGGGATTGGATATATTTTCGTTTTAAATTTTTCCAAGTATTTAACCTTAAAAGAATGTTCATAATTTTTAGCCACTCGGCTTACTTCATTAACAAGATCTCCATGATTTTCTAAAATCTTCTCTATTTTCTTTCCCATGTTTTCTCTACAATTTATTTTTCTTCTATAAATTTTCTTCTCTATCATTGGTCGGTACTTTCACGTAGCAATTCATTTTACAAGAGCAATTAAAATCTTTGAATTCTTTTTTCTCAACAGTTTTGCCTTTGTAGTTATAATGAACATTTTGTAAATTTCTCTGACGCTTATTTTCTTCTCTTGTTAAACCCAGATATTTTCGTTTTCGTCCCTTCTTTGGCCTACCTGTATTGACTGGAGTAGAGTGTATTACCTGTTCTAGCATTTCTTCTTTGATTTCCAAAGCTACATCACCTTCCTGATAATGTTCTTCATTATGTCTTATATTAGTTTGATATTCATCCTCTAATCTGAATTCTGGATCTACGTCGGAATCATAGCCATCATACTCATTATCTTGATCATTGTTTGAAGATTCCATCTAATTTAAAAAGAAAAAAAGTCAATTAAATGCTAACATAAATAGTCGTGGCAAAACTAACCTCATTTTCTGCTTTTGAAACATTTAAAGCCAAATTTAGTATATGTTGTCCTCTGGAAGATCTATAACTCATTGTTTAAGAAATGTGTTACCACCCAATAGTTATTAAAAACTAATAATTTGCAATATTTTCACTACTTTATTATACGTATTATACCCTATTATACTTTATTATACACAAACATGCAGTCTTAGCATTACCGCGTGACAAACAAAAGTATTAAGTCATTGAAGAAAGGAACCAAGTGTTTTATACTACCTAATTCCCAAATTTTGCAGAATAGAACCAACCCACTTGGATCTTTTCTGCAGATTACTTCATTGGGGACTGAAGTAATGTGGGTTGGTTCACTACCAGATAGATGGCAGCATACACTTGCTGTGGCCTGGTTCCATTCTGCATATAATTTTTAACGACTATTCAAAGCGGTACTATGAATACAGCAAAAAAATGTATTTTGTGGGTTGGTTCCTTTCTGCAGAAAGTCGTCCAATTTGTGTTCTTTTAAAAGGGGAATTTTAGCTTTAAATTGTGCTTCCCTTGATCCTGCACAAGTAATTATGAGAGTTGTATGACGAGTAATTTTTTCAGGAAAACATTTTTCTGCAATGTATGGTCTAAGAAGAGATGGGTGACATCCTGTGTCTATTAGTAATTTTATAGGAGTTGGGGAATTTATTTGAATATATGGCAGTGAATTAGGGACTATATTATTTAGATCAATTTGTTTTCCTAATCGTTTGGACTTTGCTGAATACGCTCGGGAAAATTTGACTGATCTGGGTCTTGGGATTCGTATTCGTAATTTTGAGAATAACGATAATTTTGAGAATGGGAACATGAACAAGGATTATTTTCTATTTCGTCTTCTGACAGATTATAAAGTTCTTCTACTTGAAAATTTTGAGGAGACCTTTGTTGGAATTGAAATTTTTGTTTAACAGAAGGCATTCTCGATGTAGTGGACATTGGTTCTGGTTGATACGTATTTTTTGGAGCATTTTTGGGATCGAAAACATGTTTTGGTTTACCGAACACTTGCTCGTTAGTAAAATATTTTTTATGAATTGGTTTTGATTGAATATTTATGGGTTGGCTAGGAAATGTTTGCCTCGAATAACTGGGTTGATTAAAATTAGGATTATGCGAATAAGAATTTGTATATTGTTGATTAAAATTCGAAAAATTAGGTCGATTTTGATGAAAATTTTTATTTGTACTATTTTGGTGAAATTTTTAAAGTTAGAATTGTGATTAAAATTAAAATTTTGGTTATGATTTGGCATATATTTGTGATTTTGAAAATTGGATTTATTTTTATTAAATTTATTAAAAGGATTTAAAGATTGAATTCTTTGATCATTGTAAAATTGTCTAGAAATAATATCTGAAGCTTGAATAAACGTTCTAGGTTCTCTAATTTCTAATACAGTTCTAGTTTTTTCATCTACATTTGCTAATAATATGTCGATAGAATTGCTTTCTGTTTGATCCATTAATATTAATTTTCCATCCGCATTTAATTCTGTTTCTGAATTAATTTTAACTTCAATTCTTGATTTAAGTTGGTAAATTTTTGCAACAAAATCAAGAATGTTTTCATTTCTACCTTTAGTTAATTGTAAAAATTCTTTAGTGAGCGTTTGTCTATCAATTCTATCGCCAAAATTATTTTTTAACGTTTCTCTGACTAGAGGCCAGGTATTTAAATCTGGTCGGCACATAACAAAATTTAAAACATTGTCTTGCAATTTCGAACAAATAACATTGAAATGTATTATCTGCGGTTTGTCCGTACGTAAGATAGTATTTATATTTGTATGAAACTTTCCAGTTTCAGAGAATCGCCATTAAATGTAGGTAAAAAGTCTGCAAAAGCCTTAGCTGCTTGAATAGTAGGAGTTTGATTAAGAGCCATTTTGTTTAAATTAACAACTAGATCCTCAATAGATAGATAGATAGATAGATAGGTTTATTGACAATTTTTACATAGTAAACACTACATGTCATATCACAATAAAAATAATTTACTTTTCTATACTAAGAACTAAGAAATAATACAAGAACATATAATAAAACACATACAGTGAAAATTAGATATATAAAATTATAACAAATAAGAAAGAAACATTTCAGTAAGGCGTAATATAGTTTTCATTAAAAACGACCACACTAGGAGCTCAAAAAAACAAATTCCTGTATACTATAGAAACAGTATTCCAGCAGGAAGTGTTTTGCTAGTTTATAAAATTGTTTAGAATTCATTGCCTTAATATCAATATTTTTGTTTAAGTGTATAAAACAATTATACAGATTATAATCTATTGTATTAAGTTGTGTAACACACAATCTGGAATATGGTATAATGATATGACTTTTATTTCTTGTATTGTAATGATGTTGATCAGCATGTGATTTTACATCTTTTATATTATTATGAATAGTTAACAAAGTTTCAAATATATATTGAAGGTAAAGGAAGAATGCCATACTACTTAAATAAGGGTTTACAGCTGGCGCGATATTCTGCCGAGTCAATAATTGGATTGCTACTTTTTGAAAAGTGAAAACTTTATATGCATAGGACGAGTTTCCCCAAAGAAGTATGCAATATGTCAGGATACTATGAACCATTCCAAAATTAACTGACCTAAGAATATCTCGACTCACAAAAGTAGCCAATCTGCGCATAGCAAAAATCTGTGAGGCGAGCCCCTACACAATCGTTCAATATGATGCGACCAGTTCAACCGTGTATCCATAGTAACACCTAGTAACTTTACTGGTTCAGATGGTGTAACCCATCTATCAGAACTAATACGATTTTCTGGGTTTTCTGCTCGTTTAACTTAAGTTTGTTACAGTTAAACCATGATTTAGATTTTTCTAATATATCCTGACTGTAATCAGTTTTACCTCTACATAATAAGGTTCTGTCATCTGCAAAAAGAACACAGTTGGTGTTATCCAATGCACTTGGTAAATCATTTCTATATATATATATATATATATATATATATATATATATATTATATATATATATCAAGAATAGTAGAGGAACCAAAACTGATCCTTGTGGTACTCCGGTTGAAACTGGTAAAGGATCAGATTCTTGATTATTAAATGCAACAATCTGTGTTCTTCCTGTAAGATAGGATTTTAAAAGGTCATGTATGGTGCCCCTTATTCCATAGTACTCCAATTTTATCAATAGTGTTTGAATATCTACACAATCAAAAGCTTTTGTAAGGTCACACATTAAGCCATTAGTAGGGTCACCTGCATCAAAACCGTGAACAATATGTTCTATTACTTCTAATAAAGCTTTAGTTGTTGAGTATTTTTTTCTAAAACCAAATTGAGAGCTAGATATAATTGATTTGTTATCCAAATAATTTGATATACGATCTTTAATTAAGATTTCAAAAATTTTACTTATTGTTGGTACTATGGTAATAGGTCTGTAATTGTCAGGAGCATTTTTATTTCCTTTGTTATGAAGTGGAATTACTTTTGATATTTTGAATTACATCAGGCCAGTAACCCTCGTTAATGCATTTGTTAAATATTATTGTGAGTGGTTCGACAATTGTATCAAGCGATTCCTTAATAATTTTACTGTTAAAACCATAGTAGTCAACACATGAGGAATTTTTTAATTTGTATATGCATTCTTTCACATCAGATGCTACTATTGGAGACATAAAGAACGAACTTGACCTTCTAGGTAACCTGCTAAGATAGTAGTTTATGTCATGCTCAAAGTCTCCTATTGATTTCGATATAATATCTGCTATATTCGTAAAGTATTGGTTAATTTCTTTTGGTGTTAAGTTCAGATTAGACGTAGTATGTTCCTTATAGGTTTCTTTTTTAACAATACTCCATATTGTCTTACTTTTGTTGGTGGATTTGTTAATTATGTTAGCATAAGCAGTACGTTTTTCAGCTTTTATTGCTTGCTTATATTTTTTTCGTATTTGACAATATTTAATCCAATTGTCAATAGTATGTGTTTTTCTATATGTTGCTTTACAATCGTAGAGTTGTTTTCTTAAATCTCGAAGTTTCTGATTAAACCAATGAATAGCACTTTTTCTGCTATTCATGTTTTTTAAAGGAAAGCAAATGTTGTATTCTTCACACATATATTTCATAAACAACTCTGTCATGTTGTTTGAATTACATTGGATATCGTCAAACACAGTCCAATCTTTGGAGTTAATTTTTTCCACAAAATTCTTAATATTTTTTTCAATAATTAATCTTTTTTTAGTCTTTTCTATAATTGTAGACACATTTTTTAAACCACTCACAATAGCAAATATACCCAAATGATCAGATATTACAGGATCGTAGACACCTGTATTTAAATTTTGTTCAATAATATTATTAAATATATTATCAAGGCAAGAGCTTGAAACTCTTGTGGGCGCTTTTATGAAATGTTTTAAACCGTACATGGTTAAGAAATTTCGTATTTCACAAACATGCCCTGTGTTTACTTCCATATTTAATGTTAATGTCACCAACTATCATTATATTTTCATATTTTTTAAAGGCGAAATCAATTAAAGCGTATAACTTAGCTTTGAAAACAGTAATATCCCCATTACAGGATCGATAAAGTGCAATTATCAGAAAACGATTATTTTTAATTTAAACACCACAGAATTCAGCATTCAATGGATCACAAAATTTGTTTAAATCAACAGGCTCAAGTTGAATATGTTTAGAACCATAGATAGCTACACCTCCATGTAGTCTGCTTTCTCTACAATATGAAGTGACATGTTGAAAATTGTCCAAGTTTATTCTTTGTAAATTATCAGAATTTAACCAGTGTTCCGAAACACAAAAAATGTCATACTTATTATCTTAAAAAAATGCATTTAATTCATCTACCTTATTAGTGATACTTTGTACATTTAAGTGAAACACAGAGCACGTTTCTACAGTAATACTGTAGTTATTATAGTTATTGTTTATGCATGAAGGAACGAAAAAATTCATTTATATATATATATATATATATATATATATATATATATATATATATATATATATATATA